TCACTTTTACCTCCTAAGCAATGTACCAGAGTCTCTGAGTCCACACTCTCACAACCAGATAGATTTACCACTGTCTGCAAAGAGATAAGGTAGTGTCTCCCTGATTATTCCAGACAGAGAGAAGTTATGGAGACCCAACTAGATATCCTTACTTTTTTAAAAAACTTATTTAACTTTATTTTATGTGTGTTGGTGTGAAGGTGTCAGATTGCTTGGAACTGGAGCTACAGACAGTTGTGAGCTGTCATGTGGGTGCTGGGAATTGAACCCGGGTCCTCTGGAAGAGCAGTCAGTGCTCTTAACCACTGAGCCATCTCTCCAGCCCCGATATCCTTACTTTTTAATAACCACAGCATAGTATGTGACGTGTATGGACTGAAGTAGCTATGAAACTTTTCTCATTTTCCTGAAGCTCAGAGGTGACAGTCAGAGGTAACTTTATGCATACTTCATTTTTCATCCTCTTCTATGTGTGTGTGCATGTGCACATGACTGTGTGTCTCTGTGATTCTCTGTGTGTTCCTAACTGAGTTCAGGTTTACCCACAATAAAGTTTATGCGTGATGGTCAGAGGGCCACCTTACTTGTTAGGCCTCACCTTCTATCACTTGGAACATTGAGCAATGTTCCTTAATCCACTGTTGCCCACACAAGCCTAGCTGGTGTGTGTCCTTGCAGGGATTCCCCTGTTACTCCCTCCCATCTCACCATAGGAACACTCAGATTGCAGACAAGTACTGCCACATCCAGGCTTATGTGGGCTCTGGGATTGGAACTCTGATCCTCACACAGGCACAGCAAGCTCTTTTACCTATTGAACTATCTCCCAAATCCACGCATACTTGTTTTTGCCAGTGATTGAAGCTTCTAAGGACAGCTTTGCTGTCCACATAACATACTCAGCCTGTAGAAAGCAGAGGTGTGGATTCTAACCCTCGAGCCTTTCATAAATAAAAGAAGAAAAGTCCTTTTCATAGATTCTTCTTTACCCCATAGTGCCAGAGGATAGTGCTGTGGCAGTAGATACAGGGCTGAAGTAGTTGGGGGAACTCATTTGATAAACTGAGCTGGAGATAAGACCAGGCAACACAGCTACTCCATTTTCCATGATGGCACCGTGGAAGAGTCCTTGGGACATGGGGGACACAACATGTGAAGACACACTTGTGCCACCTGCTGACTCGTCAAAAATGGTGACAAGGTCAGGGTTTCCTCCAAAGTGGGCAATATTCTGCTGGACCCAGCGTAGGGCAGCCACTTGGTCCAGGTAGCCCCAGTTGCCCCTGGCATGCTGGTCTCCAGTGCTGAGAAGTAGAAGGGACGTGGATCAAAGTGCTGTCTAGGTTCTTCTCAGATGCTGTTGCCTAGCCCTAGTCTCACCTGAAGAAGGCCAGGACACCCAGATGGTACTGGAGAGTGACCACCAACACATCCTCAGTGGCTGACAGCATGGATCCACCATAAAATGGAATCTGTGCCTATAACCAGAGCAGCACCATGGATCCACACCATCACCTGGAGAAGTCAAGAGAGATGCCAGGAGGCTTCTATTGGACACAAGCTCAGGTGGGACTGCCTCCTGGATTATGGACTGTTTCCTATCTGTGCAGTTAGACACACCAGGACTCCTCAGCCTCTTAGACTCAGGCCACAGGGGAGGAACACAGTCTCATCAGCATATTTCCAAGTCCCACTGTCACACCAGGAGTCTCAGTTTGGATTAATGGATTTAAGTCCAGAGTAATGTCACTATCACTCCCAGACTCCTCAAAAGTGGAAAAGGTATCTCCATAAGTTTTCATGATTATGAATCCAAAGGGTCAGCAAAAATCATTGGTACAATCAATATCCCCAAGCTAGAAATTTGGCTTTTCTCAAGGTTCATTCCTCAGACACCTGACTCAGTCTCTGGGGATCAAGTTTGTTGAGAGTCCAGAGTTAATGCCTGGGCTACTATCTCTGACTCCTCAGAGCTCCAGTCCTCAGTGTCTTATACCCAGGGTTTAGCTGCCTGGTGAGACAGTACCAAGGCTGAGAAGGCCTTCTTGGACATACTCAATAATGCTAATTTGCTAACTACACTGCAGTAGAGCTCAGGTTGACTTTGTGCTTTCTAATCCTCCTGAGTAAGAAATCCTCTCCTGATCCAGGACTGACCATTACCTGATACTCACAGGCAGGTTAGAGTTCTCATGGGCATGAGCTGGTGTGTAGACATTGAGATGCACGTGGTCCTCAGACATAAAGATGGAAGTTGTGATCAACTTCATCTTTTTCAGACCCTCTGTATTCATCCTATCATCATTTTGCAGACACCTGATGACAATGGCAGATGGTGATCCAAAAAGATGTTCAGTGATCAAAACAAGACCCTTAGTCTGGATTTCCTTCCCATCACCCTTAAGGCCTGCTCCTCATGATGTCCTCTGCTACATGATCCCTGTCTGAAATCAGTTCCTCCCAAGGTAAAGGCCACAGGCTCTGTGGAAGCTGTGAAGGACACATACTTCCAGTGAGGCCTCCAGTTGTGTGGGGTTTGGATGGAACACTTAATGAAGTTGGGATTTCTTAGGTTGCCTATGAATGTGATGGGCTGCATGTAGTGACATTTCCACTTCTCCCTGTTGTACTTAATGTTAATTTGATTGTTGACTTGACATAACATAGAATCACTTGAGAAGAGAGTCTTAGTGAGGGGTTGTCTAGAGCACATACGTCTGAGGAGGTTATCTTGATAACATTAATTGAGGAGGGAAGATTTTCCCATGATTGGTGACACCATTCCCTAGGAAGGGGCTTCTGCACTGTGTGAGTAGAGAAAGTGAGCTGAGCATCAGCAGGCAGCCAAGCATTCTTTACTCTAAATTATAGATATGATGTTACCAAATTCCTTAAGCTCTGCCACTGTGAGTTGCTTCCTGTGAAGTAATGTTCTGAAACTGACCTGTAATAAACCATTTCTGCAGGAAGTTTCTTTACAGCTGACATAATAAAAATTGAATAACACCAAATATTTCTTTCTTTTTTTTTTTTTTTGGTTTGGTTTTTTGAGACAAGGTTTCTCTGTGTAGCTTTGTGCCTTTCCTGGAGCTGTAGACCATGCTGGCCTCAAACTCACAGAGATCTGCCTGGGTTTGCTTCCTGAGTGCTGGGATTAAAGGAATGCGCACCACCGCCCAGCTTAAATATTTCTTGATAAATGGCTTCCTCTAGAAAAATGCCTTGAAATTTCTAGGTATATCTTTAATATATAGCTGAATCTCTACAACATATTCTTGCAGCTAGAAGAATGGCACTTGGCTCTATTGTCTCAGTGACTATAGAAAATGGAGATGCCAAGGACACATCACTGTGGCCCTCTTGAGACTTACAGTATATGACACTTGAGTCTGGGTTCCTGTTTGCTCTATGTCTACACTAATCCTTGTCCATTGACCTCTCCCATGCTGGTAAAGATCACTTGGCACAGTCCAAGTCTTGGAGTGGCTTATATCTTCTCACTGTAAAACCAAGAGATAACTCCATATAGGAATTGACCTCTGACCCAGGAGACTAGCAAAGTTGTTCTACTAGAAGCCTTAGTCATGTATCTGAAAAGGCATGGCAGAGTACACATCACAGACAGAGAACTTCTATAGGATTGGGGTGGAGGAAGCACTTCATTCTGGCCCAGAGCTCAGAGCACATTCTCACCTCAGGACCTGTAAGTCCTTTGAGCCCCAGAACTTACATAGCTGGGTAAGAGGTCCCATCTCTCACACCAATGCATGATTCAGGGGCCTCAGGGGGTGCAAAGTGCAGAGGTCCTACAGGTGGCTTGGCAAAGGGAATTCCCAAAAATGTGTGGACACCAGCTGTGGTGCCCTTCACATGGACGAGGCTTCCTCTAATCTGGCCTGTGTGTGTGTTCCTGATAGGGCTGGCTGAGTCCTGGCCTGTGAGTGAAGAGATACCATCAGGGTTAGTTCTGTCCAGGCAGCTGCCACCACACTGTTGTTTCCCACCTCATGTTCACTAGGGTACTTGAGGAAAGGAATCCAGGGTGTCTGAGTTCAAGTGTAAGATGTGGGAGTAGGAGTTTCTTTATCCCCATCATGGCTAGGAACATTGCTCATGTTCCTTTTGAGTGGTGGCTGTACATGTCTTTGGCAAACAAGGAGACTGCTCAGAGATACTTGGAAGAAGGAATGCATTATTATCATTGTTATCCAGAGTTCTATAGCAACTACAATCACACACAGAGGAAGAAAATGTCCCCTTTGCTCTCTTTCCCCTAATCTGCAGGTCCACTTCTGCTCAGACCTCCTTACACTGGAGTGACTTTTTTGGTATGGACATTTCTAGTCCTCTGTGTGCTGCAGAGGTCACTGTGTGGGCTTTGGTGGGAGCACTGGGAGACACACAATTCCCTCCTTCTTATCTACCATCTTTATGAACTCCTCCCTCCCTGGTGCTTTCCCTCCCACAAGGTCAGCCTCTATTCTACAAAACTGGGCCCATCTGAGCCCATGAGTCAACTACCTTCCTCCAGGATGAGCATTAGATGTCTACAAACATACCAAGGCCAGCTTCTCACACAAGTGGACAATTGCAATTTGGGCAGGAAATAGATGAGATTTCCTCTATAGGGATAATCTGTGTGCAGTGTTTGGTGTGCTCAGTAGCTGATGTCAGAGGGGTCTAGGAGCTGAGCTCGGACAGCCTGTGTGGCTCAAATTCATTTGTTGGTCCTTTATTTCTTGGCCCACGGGACTTTACATTCATTTCTGCTATTTACAAATTACCCAGTTGTTGTTTCTGTTTTTGAGATATGGGTTTTGCTATGTTGTCCAAGGCGGTATGGAACTCTTAGGTTCCCGCACTATTCCTGTCTCAGTTTCTGAGTAGCTGGGGCCACAGATACGTATCACAAGTATAGGGCAGCCAGTAACCTATTTGGAACAGCAGCCTGAGCTTGTGAAGATTATGGGACTTTGGGACCCACACATCCATATTCTACATAGTCATAAGAACTTTTATTGAGTGGATCTAACAGAAGATTGGTAGTGTTTTGTGAAGCTGTAGCATGTAGAGGGCTTATCATACACATTGGTAAAATGGGTAACTGCATATGTTAGGAATGCTTATGTGAATGTTAGGACGAAAAGAATTTACAAACCTCAGACAGAACCCACCCTCCATGATCACACATGCCTCTTCACACAGGGCACTACAACTCTTTGTGCCTCTTCTGAGCCCCCTTTAGCTCCTGGATCTTCTGAGGTAGAGTTTTTGTCCAGAACTGCAGCCTTCTGGCCTTCAGGGCTTGGCCCACAGCAGGCTTGATATCCAGCTGCAGGTACTGCTCATCATGGTCCAACATGGGCCAGTAGGGTAGACCCTCGCTGTTGGGGTTCCTGTGGATATGCCAGCCAGTGGGGAAGGGTGAGGTCACTCTGATCCAAAGTCAGGGTCAGGGAAGTGGAACAATTAGGCCAGTGGCTAAAGGGGCTGATGGGACAGGTTTCCTGATATAGTGATACAAGTGTCACCCACTAGTTTCTGCTCCATGTGGGAGAAAACTACCTGACCTATTTTGTGTTTCCCTCTGAGAGGCAAGATCTAAAGAACAGTACCATCACACTTATGAGCCAGGTCACTGTGAGGTGACCAGTAACCAATAACTACAAAGTATTTGTATAAATGTGCTATGGGGTAGAGAAGACTTTATCATGTGATGAAATGTCCATGCATGATAAGAAGGCCACCATCCAAAAGGGAGTCCTAGATAGGAACCCAAACCTGGAAGGTTAAAAGAGAGGTGTGTTCTCACCCATGTCTTGCAAAGTTGGCCCAGTACTTCATCATCCTCCTGTTGAGTAGCTCTTCCTCCTCAGTGAGGTCAACTGGAGTCATTAGAAAGACAAATGTCCAAATATATGCCACATCAGGCAACTCATGCTTCAGACTCACAATCTCAGCTGTTGTCTGATCCCAAATTATTGACTTTGCTACCTCCCTTCTTCACCATATACAGTGTCCCAGATCCATGCAAGCCTCTAGTTGAATTCTTGCCCCAATGTACTGCCATATTCTCCATTACAGGCTAGACTGTGAAGGGTCCAGATTCTACACCACACACACACACACACACACACACACACACACACACACACAGACAGACACACAGACACACAAGTGTACACATACAGGTGTCTTCAAATGGACTGAGAGCTCAGGAGTCCCTCAGCAAGCCATATGGGACCTTATTCAGCTCAAGGAAAATAAGGAAGACTCACATTTCATGCCCCAGAAGAAGGACCCAAGGACAAAGAGAATCTCATCACCATGGTCAGCCTTCACATATGGTGGCCTCATATCCTTGAAGAAGCTGGGTGGATGCTGGAACTCATAGAAGTAGACAGGAGCATGGGAACCTGGATGTAAGGACATGTGGTGACATGGCAGCACTTGGCCTAGAACTGTTCTGACACACATTTGGTGTGTGTGTCAGATCAAGAAGAATGAGGTGACATAGGCACTAGGATGTGTAGGCAATAGCCTCAGGGTGGGGAAATGCAAAGGTGTGGTATGGGGACAAGAGAACTTGGTCTCAAGTTATCTGGAATCACAAC